AAAAGTCGAACGAGTGGCTCGTCCAGAGGTACGGCGACGACGCCGAGATTGACTGGGATCTCAGCGGCGGCGGCAGCACGCTGAGCGGCTGCCGCCAAGAAGGCGGTCGCCGCGAAGCCCGCCGAGACGCCCGTTGTGGAGGAGACGAAGACGAAGGCGACGGAGGAGGACGATGGCGAGGAGGCGGACGAGGCTGAGGAGGAGGCCATGGTGCAGGCTCTGGCTGAGGCCGAGGCCAAGGCGCAGACTCAGCTGAAGAACGAGGCCAAGGCCGGAGAGGCGGCAGAGGCTGACGGCACAAACGGAGAGGCCGCCGGAGTTGAGCCCAAGGACTAGAGCACAGTGCAGTCAACTGCCTAGGCCGTTACAGCTACCTGGCCCTTTGCAGGCACCTACATGTCATATAATGAGCGGGTCGGCGTTTTTTTTTTGTTACCCTGAAATCTATTACATATCACGAATCGTGACTGATTTGCACAAATACAAGGGTGTTCTCGAATTACGTATCACAGACAATATGAAGAGTGCCTGTGGTTTACCGTCACCATGATGGATGCATGGTCAGGGCTGATGAAGATAGCCCCGCCTCGACAATGGCAGATCAAACCTGACCTCGACCGAAACGGAGACGTGCTGGCGTATCGCGCAATGCGCAGAGTCCTGGCGGTCTCGCCAATCTCGACACCGTCGTATGAGTTGGACTCATAGGCCACCGATCGCGTCAAGGTCTAAACTCAACACCCTCCCATGTCGAACGATACCTGGCCTAGGAGTAGCACGGTGCACATGAACGTGGGTCAGCCCGTACAAAGGGAGAAATAATTGGAGACCAATGTGACGTGGGTAACCGGGATAGCCGGGTGCATCATGGAGAGGGTCCAGGTAGAGGAAGGGAGATCACGAACATTAGTGTTCTGGGGAGCAGAAAGCATGTCTGTCTGCATACGCTGTTTCGACTTCATCCTGCATCCGGCCGCGCGATCGGAATGATTGGCAGAAGAAATACTGGGACCACAAGCGCATTATTTCAGGCCACTGGGGCATCCAAGGTCATACAGAGGGGCCAGTCTTTGTGCTGAGGTTACCACGGCTGTAAAAGTGCATTCATGATCAGCGACCGAGACGGCTTGCGAGGCGCAGGACCTTTGTCTCCTTGAAAAGTCAGATCCCAATTCTGATCACAGAAAGAAGATTCAAAGCGGTGAAGCGAATCTGGGTTTCCCCCCCCCTTTTCAATATCCTCCACAAGAGGTAGAGGACAGAGGCGTCAGGGTGGGATCACTGACGATGCACGCCGTCAATCGCGGTCATGGAATGTCGTTTCCAGGCAGCGATGGCACTGCCACCTGCCAGCTCATGACTGGTGCGCAGCCAATGACCCGACAGAAAAGGCTTCTTCCATTAAGGATGATGAGCTGTTAGTCCAGGGATCTCAGCTTGGGTGCCCAGGATGTGTTGGCAGGCGGCGGCGGCCAGCTCATGCAGGGTATGCTGGCAGGATTGGCACCCGGATTCGGGTCGACGGGCGGCCGAGAGAATCAGTTGGGCGCAAAAGCTACGTCGAAGTCCTGATCCCGACAGGGGCAGAGAGACTCGAACAAAGCATCGCAACACTCATGACAACAGAGGGCGTCTTCTGTTTTTCTTGTGGCAAAGATGGCGCTGGGCAGGCTCGCGGCTGAACTGCTGTGTACGTACGGCTTTTGGCCGGCAGCCGATGCGAATGTGCCGGGGGCCAGTCGCTGAAGATGCACAGTGATGGTGGGGGTGCAGGACCACGCGCATGAGGTTGCGTCGTGTGCATGGAAAATGCTCGCGACGCTAAACCGCAAGAGGCATCAAATGATGGACTGTCACTACCTACCTCCCCAAGGTAAGGGACCTAGAGGTTGGTAGGTGTAAAGCGAGAGACTGGACCTCGCAGCTGACGCCTCGCCGCCGGCGATGATGGGGGCCCGTTGCGGACCCTCAGAAGCCTAAAAGTCAATGGCGGGCCGGCTAGGGCATAGCAGAGGCTTGTCCCGTCTGTTGTCTGAAACATGACTTGGGGCAGGGTTGGGGAGTGAGCCATGGCAATCTGGCGAATGCCTCTGAAAAGTCGAAAGTGCATCAAGGGACGAGGTTTTGGTACAAGATTTGTGTGCAGCCCCATGACGATTCTTTTCAAAAAGCCCTCTTCGGACAGACAGGCCTTCACTGCTCTCGTCCGCAGCGCCCAGAGGCCTTGTCACGGCCTCCCCTTTGAGGAACAAAGCCCCCCCCCCCACCTGCAAACGCCCACAGCAGTGGAAGCCGCTGCACCACCCACGACCTCCTGTAACAGTATGGGCCACTGCCGCGCCGTAAGTGTCTAGTCGATTTCCCAAACGGACCTAAGGCAGCCCGAACCACTGGCTTCAAGACCCTCTCATCTTAAAAAGGCACCTCCAACTCGAGGGAGCACGGGTCGATGAGTGAATATGGACCACCTCGCTTTCTTTTGAATCAGGGACTTGGGGGACTCCGAAATCATGTCGATCCCATCAGTGGCCTGTGTGATGAATGTACTTCTCCCAAAAGAACATCCCATCCACGTACTTGCACGCCGAGAACTCTGTATGGGATGAGCGCCAGGTGACGGGCGGGCCCTGTGTACATGAGATCACTAGCGCCGAAGTATGCCCCGGCGCTGGCCCAATCGTCCAGGACATCTTTGGCACCTCGACCCCCTGTACCGATACCCATTTATAACGCCCGTGCCGCTAATCCCGAACAGGGTCTCACCACGTCCCCAGCGACGTCCTGGGCGAGGTATCGCTCAGCCTTGCTGCCGCATGAAAGATACCTTGGGCGGCAGGCCCTTCTTCCCCCCCCCGCCTCCCCCTGCTCATAATTACTGGGAAAAGCAAGGGTCAGTGCTCTGTACTTTTTTTCGAATTAAAGAGTCCGTTCTCATCATTCGTCGCTTGCCCCTGAGTGACGCTGCCGTGCTCTCGTCGAACCAGAGCCAGCCAGGGCAAGAAGAGGAAGACGAACGAGAGTGGTAGAGCCAAAACCTCCCATCGCACTTTACTTTCCCTCCCCTTCACCCAGAGCTGGTCAGGTCACATCCGTCCCACATCCTCTGCGCTCGTTCACTTCGTTCCTTTTCCTCCTCTTCCCCGGTCCTTGACTTGACCCTCCTTCGTTCCTACGGTACAGTGCCTTGCCTTCCCTGGCCTTACCTCGCCTTACCTTACCTTACCTTCACACAGCACTCGCTCAGATTCCATTTTCCTTGATACCCTTGAGTACCTTCTTTGCGTTTTCCTCCCATTCGCTGCTACTCTAGTCCACATCATCGCCTCTCCACCGAAGAAGTGACACGCAGCGGGGGGGATTTGTGTCGACCATCTTGTCCGCCTGTCGACCCAGCGTACCTACCTGGTTCCAACAACCACCACGCCGACCAGCGCGCCTTCGCGCCTTCCTTCGTATCGACTGCCTTCGATTGCCCTCCCGTGTGGAGCCCACACCCCTCATCCTGTCGCGTTCCTGCAGAGCAGACAGCAGCAGACGTCCTCTGATCTCCATCATCCACCCAAAAACACCCCTCCTCTCGCACCTCGGCTTCGAGCTCCACGGGCCTGCAATCAAGCCTAGACTTGCATCACGACTGCGAGTGTTGCTGTTGCGGCCATGCCGAGTCTCTTCTCCCGCCTCAAGGGCAAAGATGGTGGCAAGCTCAAGTCTAAGAAGGGCGCCAACCACGACGCCCTCGCCGACCTCCAGCCCCTGAAACCGAAATGGGATGACGCCTACACCAGGAGTACCATTGAGCCAGAGGAAATCCAGGATCTCATGAGGCGTGCCACGGAGGAGCTCAAGGCTCGAGGTATGACGACCATTCCTGCTCGCACTGCTTCCTGGTTGCTGCGCGCCCTTTCTGCCCCTGTTCCTGTACAACGGTACCACAGAGCTAACTCCCATGCTCTGCAGCCCTCGATCTTCCATTCCTACTTCTACCTTTTCGCCCGACGTCGGACCCGAGCGCCGTGCGCACCTTTGTCCGACACTTCTTCGATGGCAACCAACGCGGCGAGGCATTGGCGCAAGAGCTGCGCATGACCGAGCCCATGGTCATTGCCGGCGTCATGAAATGGTGCTGGAGCAGACTCCAAGGCGGTGTGGTCGGCTGGGACGCCTATGAACTCTTCAAGGTTGGCGAGCAAGGTATGTCTCACCATCCGTGTCTCAGACAGACCACCGGGAAATGGAACTGCCTTCCCCTAACGCGACCCCGCAGACTCCAACATGGCGCGCGACTCATTCAAGACGTTCATTCCTCTCAGCGTTGACAACGGCGCGCGATCATGCATCATTTTTGATTTTTTTGATCTCATCTCCGCGATTGCCGCCCATGGCAAGATGAACGGCCTGGGCGGCCGCAAGCTCTCACGTATGGCTGCATGGTGGGCCTTCGAGCAGAAGGACACGGGCAGCGGCTTTGAGGGCGGTTACAAGTCCTGGTCGAGGTCAGTTGCGACAGTGCGCAGCCCGTGTTAGATTGATACTAATCAGGCGAATGCAGTGCTGCTGACGCCACGAGTCACCTTTTCTTCGCCTATCTCAGATCCGTCGCGCCACAGCAGTCCAAGGGAGGCATCTCGATGCTGCCCATGTCTCTGCAGAAGCTGCTGCAGGAGACCGAGTATCCACCGCAGCGACCCTCACTGATGCAGACGTCTACGAACAAGGTTGTCATGATTGTTGATACGGTGTCACCCACCCCTTTCGCCCTACTGCGCCGCGCCAACCACTTCCACTTCCGTGATGAGGATCGCGCGCTTCAAGAGTTCTCCGACTTTGAGGACCCCATCCGAGCCCTGACTGAGGAGTGCCGACGAGTTCTTAAGTCCATCTCATCTGCCAACCAGAGCCAGGTCTCCAGCTCAAAACATTCTACAGGCCTTCGAGACGCCTCCTGGTCACGCTTCGAGGACATCGGTTTCGCCAGTACGCTTGAGGATGATGAGGAAGACGAGGACTCGGCACTTGCCCGGCGACCTCGACAGGGTCTGAGGACAACCCCTGCGTCCGGCGCCGTAGACATGGGAAGGCCCACGACACCATCATGGGCCGACTTCTTGTCCTCTGGATTCGTGGACGACGGCCAGAACACTCGCACGAACCACCTGCTGCCACCCGACAAGGTCCTTCCCCCTATCGAGACCAACGTCAGGCAGAGGAGCTCTCAGTCACACCACCCGAGGCTGGAGACCGAACGTCAGCTGGAGCCAGGAGAGCTGGCGAGCATCACGCGCTTTGATCTGGATGAGGCTTTCTGGTGGGTCTGGATGAGCAGTCTGGCCCCTGAAGAGACCCCCGAGAGGAAATCAGCCTTTGGCCGCTGCGCCGTCATTGAGACTGTGATAAAATCCGGACGATGGCTGGTGATGGAAGAGATGGTTGTCGGAGCAGCCCCTGAGCCTCAGGAAGGCGCCTACCTCGCCGAGAAGAAGAGCTTCTTCAGCTGGACCAGACGCAACAAGGGCGTCAAGCGCGCCAAGTCTACTGCTGGCAAGCACGTACTGGACGGAAATGGAGACACCGTGGGGGTGAGCAAGGCCAGTCTTGGTCCTGATCAGCAGGCCCGCATCGCCGCCGCCGCCGCACAATTGCAAGCTCGGCAGAATCAGGAGCAACAGCAGCGTCTTCTCGAACGTAGGGGCCGCAATGGTCCCGAGCAACTCAAGGACAAGACAAACAGCATCATGACGCTGCAGCCGGTCATCATGAAGGAGGCTTCGCCAGCAATGAAGTGGGCGAACAAGTACGACAAGGACACTATTCGCGAGGCGTATCTGAACAACAACGGCGCTGGCCGAGGGAACATCACATCGTCGGCGACATTCAACGGTTTCAGCAGCCCCCTGAGTCACAACGGCTTTGCTAGCGACCACGACCAAGAGCAGCGTCCCCAGGTACCTGAAAAGTCCCCCTCCTTGTTGCCACAGCCGTCCCCGCTCCCCCAGCCATCACCTGCTATGCGCTCTAGCCACCGGAGATCAGATGACGAAGAGCCCCAGCTCTCGGAGAAGGAGCTTGAAGCACCCCAAGACCTTCATCCCACCGACCGTGGCGAGGCGGGGCGCAGCTCCCCAATGCCGCCCCCCAAGGAATCGGTAGAAGACTGGCCCCGGGAGGCCATGGTCTCCCCTGAACCTGAAGACAGCAAGAAGCACAAGAAGTTGCAGAAGGACAAGTCTGCCAGCAGCGGTCTCCGAAAGTTCTTCGGTCGTAAGGGCCGTAGCTCCAAGTTGCCCGAGAATGCGTCAACGGATCTCAACGAGCTCCTCCGACAGCAAGAGCAGCCCGTGCCTGACACTGGCAGAGCCACGCCTCAGCCTGTTCAGCCGCCTCAACCGGCGCAACCCGCTCAGCCCGAGCCCGCCATGCCGGCGCCGACTCCTGTCGAGGATTTCGTCACACCGCTCGAGAACCCGCAGCAAACACCGATCCAGAGCCCCAAGGGCCCACATGAGGACACCTTGTCTCGTGTTGACACTGCCGATGCCAACGAGGCTCGTCAGGAGTTCTCCCGTTTCGACCAAGGTCCTCTCGATGATCAACCCGCCTTCGTTCCCGATGATGAGTCCGAGGACGCAGTGCCGCCCCCTATTGCCCGCCACGGCCGGGAATCCACGTCACCTCCCGCCGAGCCCGAGACGCCCACTGCCAAGGAGGCACCGGTCCGGAGGATTCCCGTGCAGAGGGCTCCCGAGGAGCCGCAGGTCCCCCCGGCGATTGACCGATGGGCTCAGATCCGCAAGAACGCTGCGGAACGTGCCGCTCAACGACAGAGCGAAGAGAAGAGCCGTGGTGGCTACAGCAAGACGACTGACGGCGATGACGACACGAGCGGTGAAGAGAGTAAGCTGATTGACCCCAGGAGTAAGCAAGATCGATCACTAACACTCGTCCAGCTATCGAGTCTCGAGTCGCACGTATCAAGGCGCGCGTTGCTGAGCTGACGGGCAACATGGAGGGCACCACGAGCCCTACGCCTAATCCCACCTACGCATCACGCTGAAGCGGGCTTCTGATTGCTCAGGGAGAAGGGATCATCTCGACTTAACTTTGACTTGACTTTGACAACCCCGATTAATCCTTTCCCTTTGATTGTACGCGTGTCCTAGCACTGGGCAGACGAGTTTTTGTTCGATACCGTCCCTTATATTGGGCCCCCGCAAATTTGTTTTTGAGCTTGGTATCTGTCGTTGTCTTTTTCAGTCCTTCTCGTTATTTCCGCAAGATGATACCACTAGACGGAATAGTAGTTCGAGCATTGCTGCTCTAATCCATGAATACCTCAATCCCTCTTACCTTGTCCTGAGATCTCCAACAACCCTCTGTGGATGCAGTGGTCATCAGGTGATGTTGGAGGTTTTTCGGTGTATTTGTCCAGATCTGATCGGCCGGGTGAGCTTTTGATGGACTCTTTTATTGGATTGTTCGGTGAGTCCCCTACCATGAAATGACTTCCAAACCTGAAACCCTGGGTTCAGCTCTTCAGTTCAGCGATACGGAGGTACTGGACCAATCTCAATGCAGGCAGCATGCATCATGGTACCAATATTCACATAGAAAACCATCATGAGGCAAATGCTTCAGGAAGTATATCGCGAGACAGATTGCTAGCTCAAACCACGGTCATTATCAAGTAAAGCAGCCAGCACAGCCGAACCGCAATAGTTCTATCAGCAAGACAAGACACCCGGCCCATGCAGTGGCATCTATCGCCGCGGCAGGATAATCTAACGTCATGAAACCTCGTTTAACTTTCGCCCCTTCCCGCCCTGCCGATGCGAAGCCCCCGAGGCTGGTGCTTCATCTTCTTCATCTTTCTACTCCACACACACAAACACGAATGGCGGGCCCGCGGAAACGACTTGACGCGAGCAACCGCCCGCGGCGGCACCGGCACCGGCGGCAGGCTGGGCGTTCGCCTGCAGCTGGGCGCGCACAACGCCGGGCACGGAGACGACTGTGTGGGAATCGGTGAAGAAGGCTTCCGGGTTGGCCTCGATCTGGGCGAGGGTGAAGCCCGTGCCCGTGTCGACGCCCTCGTTCTCGATGCCCGTCGTAAAGGGGCCCTGGATGCAGCCCGAGGAGCGCTTGACGACCTCGGGGCCCGAGTCGGCGGGTTCCGGGTTCGGGAAGGCAATGCGCGGGGGGCCGCTCGCGCCCTCGGCTGCCTCGTGAATGTGCGTTGCTGTCACGGCGGGGGAGTCGTAGGGGCCCGTCACGCCTGTGAGGGTGATGTTCTGTGTTGAGGGGAAGAACACGGGTTAGCTTGGCTGTGGGTGGGAGAGACGATTGGAGCAGGGGCGCCAGAGAAAAGGGTGAGGTGAGCAAACATACGTAGCAGATGATGTCCAGCTCGCTGTTGATGCCGTAGTTGTAGTAACCCATCGAGCCCGCCTCGCCTGGGGCGACCTCGTTGTCGGCGTTGATGACCCGATCCGGTGTCGCGATGAGGTTGTACGTCGAGGTGAAGGTGAAGGGGCCGTTGGCCGCGACGTGCGGTGCCACGGCTTCGACGATCGGGTGGCTGACTGGCACAGGCTTCGCCGCCGCGAGTCCGATGAAAACAGAGATGACGCTTGAGGACCTCATTTTGAATCTATGTCTTGACTTGGTTTTTTGTTGCTAATGAATGAAAAGGAAGTCCAATGTTGACGCTTGTAGTTGGCAAGAGTAATAGTAACGAATGAGGCAAACCACGTCAACGTGGGAGATGCAAAAATAAGTAAAAGAAGTGAAGTAATGAGTGATGACCAGACCTGTGGAACAACAGGAGGAGATTCACAAGCAGCGAGCAAAGAAGGGATGCCAACCGTTTCTACTCCCACCTCAAGGTATCACTCAATGATCAACAACACATCGCACGGGCCTGGCTTGGATGCCCAGCCGTAGCAGGTTCGGCTCGGGGCCTCGCCGAACCGTCACGGTTACCTTGCTTGCCCAGGGTGATGGTTTCTCGTCGGAACGCAGTCGTCGTCCCTTGTCATCCTGCAAGAAGCTTCCGGCTTCCTTGTCGAGCACAGGAACATGGTCTCATGATCGCCGTTTCCAAACAGCCCGCTACCTTAATGACAGGATGGGGCTGGAGATGGCGGGGACAAGTGAGCGTGGTACCCAATGGATGGATGTCTCAAGCGTGTGGGCTGCATGGTGATCAGACGACCACGCGGCAAAGCCAAGAAGAATGCCCTCGCCGCCACAGAAGCTTCCGCCCAAAGCGCATGCTGTCCGATGTGTCGACGAGTTTATTTGGACTGGGTGCCGCTAAGAATTAAGCTTATCTGTGTGCTTTATTGCCTGTATTTCGACTTCACAAACGAAGGACGTGAGCTCCTCCACTGGAGGTCTGCAGCAGGGGTAAGGTAGCATGGCACTAATGACCTGGACGACTACAATCTCATTTCACCATTTCAAGTGTACATTGCCGCGCAAAAATACGAGCACGGCTGAGTGAAGTATCCAGTGCCAGGAGTACCGCATTGAAGGATGATGGGGTCATTGGGTGTGCAGATTTGGCTGTGGTGCCTATTTCGCGGTGTTCCGAGTAGCCAGGTGTCTACCTAGGTAAGTACACGACTCCGACGACCTAACACTCACCTGGCAGTAAGTTCGATCATCGAGTCGACGGTTCGAGTAAATTGGGCTCATAGAGCAAGCAGCATCATCAATCATGATGGCAGCACGTGTTGTTGTCCCTCCAGTGGCGAATCAGTCCAGAAATGATATCTCAAGCCAGACGGTAGACTATTTCCTGTCGCTGCTTTCTCTTTAATTTGTATCAAGGCAACACGCTGACTTTTGATACAGACAGCCCCCGGTGCCCTCAATCACTGGGGCTTCATTGTACCTGCGGTTCATCCCCCTTTGGTTGTGCCGTTAGGGTGAAGTGTAACTAGATCCCCTCAGCTCGAGATGCTACCTGGACCCTAGAAGAAGCTCTTTTACTCATATATTGGAGCGGGATATCTGCTCCGCAACACGTTGAGACATGTCGGCCTACAGTCCGTGGTCCCATGGTATACATTGGTTTATTTCGTACGCATTCGCTACCCTGTACTATTCTTGGTCGAGGTCGACGTTCTCGAAAATGAGAAGCCAGTCGCGGTTGTCTGGCTACTCGTGGCCAACTTCAAGTCTTCTGTGCTGCGTTCTCCAGCTTCGTTGCTCGGGAATCTTCCCCATACAACTAACGAGACTCCACCTTGGCCGATCCTCTGAACAGCTGTCGAGCCAACAGACCGAGCCGAAAGCGGCCTGGTGAGTTCGTATGAAGTGAATGGCCAGCTGCGTCTTGCCGACGCCGCAGAGCCCATGTAGCACTAAGACCCTCCTCCTTTTCGTTGCGACTGCGAGTGCGGTAAGCGTTTCTCTAGACGTGTGATGTCGGACGGCCTATCGACGAAATTGGCCGGCACAGGCACGCCGTGTAAGCTAACAAGCGTCTTATAAAAGCCAAAGTAATAAAACCAAGCAAGACGGCCAGCGAGCGTATATTACAGTATACAACTAAGTAAGATACAAGACAAACTAGAATTGTCTCCTCGAAATACTCTTGGAACATGTCCGCATGTGCTTCAACACGTCCTGCGA